AGGACAACGTGGGGAATTGTTTTATCCAGACCCACGCCTCAAACAAGGAATACCTGCCACTCAACTTTCCTAGTCCACAGAGCATATGTTGTTAACACAGCCAAGGTTTAGCCTCTAGCTGGGGAAATGACACATGGGACACACGGCTTTGCCCCGACCGGCATTTACTGTCGAGTGTGTCCCTAAGACGGAGGAGGATGCAACAGGAGTGCAACAACCCCAAACCTCAAAAAGCCTGTTATGATGAAAAACAAAGAGCAAATCTAAGTTCTTAAAACAAAACGGTATTTGGTGGCAAATTGAACAGTAGGGCTAAAGCAGATTAAAATAAAGATTATACTGATTGTTCCTAATGTAGTGTGTAAAAGAAACTTTTAGCCAGAGGCTCCCAAGAAAGAGTAGTTTAGGACACTAGGCAAGAAAAACGCAACCAGTGGAAGAGGTGAGCGCCAGCCCAGGGTGGGGTGAATGGATATTGGTCAGCCTGGTACGTCTCTCCTCTCCCTCCCTCTCTACCTCCACCGTCAGCTTGGTGGTGTAAATCAGAAAGATCTAGAGCTCAGCTCTTCACTTTACAGGGAAAGCTAATGCAGTAAAAGGTTAATACACCCTGCTGTTATGGAAGATCCTCATTAGAAAGAAAAAAGACACTACAACGTGGAAGCCCTTAATTATGAAATAAAAGCAGTTTATCAATTGCTATGCTGAAATGTCAATGCAGGGTGCTAAAAACTTTTTATGCATTTACCCCCACAATCATCTTAAAAACTTATTTGAACAGTAAAGAAAAAGGTGGATAAGCAAAGATCGCTCCTTATGTGGTTTTAATTATCATATATTTGTGGCGCCTCAAGGACTGAAGCTTTAGAACAAACTTAATTCTACAAGCAACCTGGTACTGTTGGGGAAAATTAAATCTCTCACAACCCTTAAGTGGCTATTCTTACTACCCAAACAGAAGGGCTTTATCTTTACTTTCATAAATTTAAATGCTATCATTAGCCATTATCATCCAAGTTCAAAACATAGCAATGAGACTGTGACTCAGAACAAAATACAGTACAAATTTATTGACTCCAATCATTCCTAGTTGATTTAAGCAAAGTAAACAGACAATAGAATTGGATACAAATAAGCAATGGATTAACATTAGATAGAAATCCTATTTTACTACGAATTTTCAGTCCAAAAAAGCTTATTTCTAAATAAAATTGAACAATGATTTACCCTGCTAGGGCATATGTCAACAAAATATACAGAATTATAAAACCCCATTTGTTTTTAACAATAAGTATTTATTCAATGAAACTTTTGAAACAGTCTTGGATTAATGTCATTAAGAAATTATCACCTTTTGAAAATTAATATTAACCAAGTATAACTTTGTGGAAAATCTGGACAGCACTAATGACTAAAGAGCAGTGAATTCAATTATTTTAAAGATTTACAGTAAAATCCTTTGGTTCCCAAACAATTGTCTCTAAAAGGAATTTTTAGAAAATCTCACATGAACTTATTTTTTTCTCCTCCAGAATCTAGACATGGACTGCTTGGTTTTCTCCCCAGTCCCGTGGAAATACCACACACTAGAGAACACACTGGGAAGCAGAGAATGAGCATATTAAAAAGTATGCAAACATCAAACTTCTCAAAGTGCTAAAGCCACAAGAGAAAGACCTATTTTTACAACTTAAAAAAAAGCCAGTGTTAAAGAACTTATTAAAGAATATGTGTTAGCATTATTTAAATCAATAATGCTTTTCACAATTATTGCAAAAAAATCAATGAAACATCAGAAATAGAAAAACTGACTTACAATATTCCAATATTAGTGCAATTTATAAAGAAACCTGTTATGAATGACATGTAATTATTTTTGTAGTAAGAAAATTCAAATAATTTTACTTCCTAAAGTTCCAGATTATGGTTGTACACACACACACACACAATTTGTGGGAACAAAGGCCGACTTTAGAGTAGTTAATTCTCCTGTCTCTCACTCACCCTGACTGTCCAGTTGGCCTGTAGATGGAGACACCCCCCCACTTCCACAAAAGGGCACATTTTTATTCTTGTCTCTGTTTCTACACTCAGCATCAACGGCTGTTGTGTGGATTACATTACCACCGATTAAGTGCTGGGGCATATTTCTAAAAAGAGGCTGTTACGATCCATTCCAAAACAGAAAACCAAGTACCACGTACATCTCCCCACAAATGCAAATAACATCATTGTTGAATTGTTAGCTGTATATTTTGACAGAATTATAAATGCATACTAACTGTAACTAGTTTTGAAGGTGAACATTCTATTAATCTTGAAATATTACTATAAAAAAATGCAGTTACCTCCATTGCTTACTTTGATAAAAACACATTTTATGGTGTTCCTCCCTCCCTCCCCCACTTGAAGAAAATGATTCAATAGAAAGTTCTCAGATTAGCAAAGAATATATTAAAACATCTTACATTCTTTCCACAACTGCATAAAAGCAGGCATCCTGAATACTTACAAGGAATAATGAGCTTTCTAGCTTTTCAAAAATCAATTACAATCAGAAAAAACATTTACAAGAATATCTTTACTAGCTAAAGAGTCGCAACAATGAAAGTTGCAACAACTTGCCTACTGGCTGAGAAAAACGTTGTTAAAAAAACTGTTTGCTGAATAAAGCAATTAAGGTGTCTTTCATTATTTTACTTAACACTTAAAATAGTTACAGGAGTGGAAGCATATTTTATTTTTTGACCACCAAAATAAACTCTTCCAGCCTAATGCTTTTCAGGTACAGTATAAAAAATAATAGAAAAACCAGAACTGCATTATAAATGTTTTTGGTTCAAAATTTTATTTGAAATCTTATGTTCCTTGCCTAGACAAAATGTGAATGAACAAGACAAAACACTGGCAAAATTTTTAAAATCTAACAGATATGCAGAGCCTATATTTAGGTCAAAAATATTTTTTTCTAATTAACATTATTAAAAAATCTTCAAAAATGTAGCATAAAGGTTCAAGTCCTGGGATACTGGATTTACAATGCCAAGATACTGTGCATCACGGAATTATTAGATACTCTCTGAGGGACACTGTCTATTTTGAAGAAGTGACAGCTACCAAGGTTGGTCAGAGTAAGAAATACCACCTTACACAGGGAATGAATTCAGTGAACAACAATCCATCCTTATGTTTCACGTAAGATCATATGCTTTAGTTTTGTCCTTAAAATGCATAGATTTCTTCAAGAAAATATAAAGACGGCAATAATCAGTAACTGCAACGTAATCTTATTTTCCTCTCTCCATCAAATTTAAGTAAGAAAAATAGGAAGTAACCACTTAAATATTTTGGGACTTTTAATAGTTTTCAAATGAAGGGCAAAATTTCCATGATGTACAAAGTCAATTATTTTACAAAAATCCTTGGGTTTCAATAACAAGAATATCTTTCCTACTACTGGTATGGAATGTGGGTAATGAGACTGATGAGTACAGAGTTATTTTCTGCTAGAGCACAAATTTAAGTACTCAGCAAATTATTTTTTAGTCACAGTTGATTTTTGACAGATAGCTTGTAAAAATAATGAATAAACCTGGAGTCTTAATCCATATCACTACCTTAAGAGGATTATGTAGTTTCAATAACATTTCTACTCTTATATATCTACCCCCCTCCAAGTAAAATAAAAATTTTGCCTTTTGAACACTCCCATTGGACTTTGGATAACACCTACTGAAAGGCTTCTAATGACAATCCACAGAATAGGAAAGAAAAAGAAGCCCAAACCCTACGGACCAAAATAAGTAGCAGAAACTAATTTTGGACCCGTCAGCACTTTAACACATATTTATGAAATATTAAGCTGTGACTTAAAAGCAGAATGGCTTCACTACGGATGTTTTACCATGATAAACTCCAACAAATGCTAATGGAAACCATCACAAGACAGGGAGGCAGGAAATTGTGTATTCTATCTATTACTCTGGAACAGCCTGTGGAGACTGCAGTGCGGTGTTTCTCCCTCTGCTTCAAGTTCCTCAAGTCAGCGGTAATTTGGAACCGAGAACTGCTCGACTGACTCCACGGGTCTGGGGGCTATGTAAATATATGTCCGACCTTATTTGTTACACTAATGTTGTTAAATTAGAAACAAGTGCTGTGTGTTATCTTTGTTCTTTGTCCCAAATACACTCAGATTTTCAATTTGTGACAGCATAAATCAGAGGACACCACACGTGTGCAGCCTTTCGAACGCTGGTCTGAGTTTAGAACCGTGACGGGTACACACAGCACAACCAGTGGTTTTGATCACAATGCCTGTGGCCACTGAAGCTCTTGTAAACTGACCAGGAGGCCTTCTGGAAATCTTAATCTTTTCATTTCCCAAGTCTCCCACCATTAATTATATTAAATGACCCAAGAGCAAGTTATTTTATAAAAATTTAAGTATTACTATTGCTGATTTAAATTTCTCACAATTTTCATACAAAAAAAAGTTCTACGTGACCACAAAATACCAAATATTTATTTTTATCAAGTGTCAGGATAACTTATGAAAGTTGAGGTTTATCATTTTTTTTATTGCTAAAAAGTATTCTAAGATCTAAATCAATACTGCAAACTACTCCACTTCTTCCTGATACATTTGGGACTTAAGAACATGGCTAAGATTTAACTAGAACTTAGGTGTCTGATATAATCAAAAGAAGAAATACTTGAATAGTATTTCACTAATTGCAAATCAGTAAAAAACCAAAACAACCTCACTTGAAAGATTATACTGACACCGTGGATGAGGAACCATGCAAACAACCAAGGTCAACCAAATGCCAACAGCAATGAAGTCAAACCATCCTGTGATGATAAGGTCCAGAAGCACAATATTTCTTAGAGTTTTTCTAAGTTGAGTAAGGACATTACTAATTAATATCAGATTACCTCAAACTTATATTCAAGCACAACAATTTCCAACCTTTATTATTTTTAAAAAATATTTTGTTTCTTATGACACATTTCACAATTCAGGTTGAAATCTGGAGGCCGTCTCCCCTTTCATAACAGGTGAAAAGGGGCGGTCTTAATTGTGGGTTTGTTCGTGACTCCAAAGACTGAAGGCAGTCTTGAAGGTCCTGTGGCAGAGCTTACACATGAACTGTCTTTTAAAGGTGATGGCTGACAGGGGTGGGGCATGGTAAAACAGCGTGTCTGATTCCTGGGGTGCGAACAGCTTCTCCGAGGCGGGGGCCGGGCTCTCTGACAGGCCCGTGGGACTGTCAGGCTCCAGGGGCTGGATCTTGGGCAGCGGTGGTGGCGGGGGCAGAGGTGGCGGCGACGGCGAGTTTGTGGGAACAGGGCACACTTCCGATTCTTTATGCGCCGAGTCCTCTGAGGCCTGAGACATATGTGTGTGGGACTGGAAGTGACTCCACAGCCGGAAATTGGTGCGGAAAGCTTTGTTGCAAACGTGACAGATAAAGGGTTTCACGGAACACAGAAGCTCCTGGTGCCGCTCCAGCTGCTTGTGCGCTGTGAACGTCTTGCCACATTTCTCACAGGGCCACAGGCCGGGGTCCTTGCTGGAACCTGCTTCTTTGCGGGCTGCGCTGGCCTCAGGTGCCTCTTCCTCAGCCTCCTCTACGGGCTCCTCTTTGACCTGGATTTTCAGTTGCTTCGAAAGGCTAAGGTCTTCAGGGAGACAGGAGGAATCTTCCGAATCAAAGTTCACTTGCTCGGAACAATCACTGAAGACATTGTCGTCTTTTGCCGTGACCATGTGGTTTGTTTTGTGAGGCTCGGGCTGGGCCTGGGGCCTGGAAGAACCAGTGACTTCACCATTGTGGTCCAGGATGGGTAAAGAGAAGTTTTCGGCCGGTGCCATGGTGTTCTGATTGTGGACTTCGACTTGGTGCCGCCAGATGCTGAAGGAGGACTTGAAGGTGCGCATGCACTCCAGGCACGTCAGCTTCTTGTACTCACACTTGCTCTCGTGCTCGTGCTTCAGCTCGGGCGAGAAAAACCTAAGGCTGCAGTAAGGGCAAACGGTGGCGTTGCGGCATAATCGCTCGTGGTTGCCTTGTTCTAGAAGAGAAGAGAGCTCAGCGTTACAGAGGCGGCACTGGTAAACCTCCTTGTTTTCTACTGGACTTGCAAGAGGAACGTGCTCTTTTGGCTTAGCAACTTTATTGACTCCAATGGGTTTTTCTCCCGGGTGCATTTTTATGTGCTGTTTGAACTGCGAGAGAAAACGATAGGCTTTTCCACAGTAAGTACAAATGTACGCTCCTTTGGCTCGCGACCTCAGGTTCCGCTTGATGGCTTGTGCTGGGGAACTACTCTGTCCCTGAAAGCCAGGCTTGCTGCGCCTTAACTTAATGATCAGGGCTTTCTTAATCTCTCTCTCTCTCACTATGTCAATCAGCTTTCTTTGGAACTTTTCATCCAAAACGGCATGTGAACTAGAGGCTGGTGACGGGTTCTTCACTATGCCGTGCTGGGTCTGACAGTGTGTCCACACTTTGAAGTTGGTGTGAAACCGCTTGTGACAGATGTCACAAGCATAGGGCTTTTCTGGGTTATGGTACATGTTAATGTGACGGTGAAGACCTGCTGTTGATCTAAAGATCTTAAGGCAATGTTTGCATTTAAATTTTTTGTTTGGTCTTGTTCCCTCCAACTCACCAAATTCATCTTTATTCAAGTCAGAATCTGGAAAATCTGCATTGAGGAGAGTGGGGCTTGAGCCCTCCTCACAATTGTCTTCTGATACGGGAGACCCGTGCTCATCCACTTTGAGCTTCTTAAACGGCAGTCTTCGGTCTGCCTGGAACCTCCTTTTTGCTGGGAGCCTGCTCATGTCTTTTTGGTCGTCTTCTGTTTTCAGAGAAATGTCTCTCGTAACGGAGGATGCTGCCGTGGCGTCTCCCACGGTGACTCGGATGATGTCGGAGGGATCTGACAGCGGGCTGCGGGGCTCCGTCTTGATCCGAACCTCGGTGACAGGCGGGGCACCCTCCCTCTCTGTCGACTGAGAGGCACTGAAGGACCTGAGGCGGTGTGGCTGTGGGACTGGGGTCCGGTCATCGAGGGCTGATTTTTCACTACAATCTTTTAAAGATGACTTTTGAGATAAAGCACAAAACACATTCCCTGGTGCATCGCTTGACACTGAAGATGAGCCCTGGGAAGATTTCAAATCTATTGAGGGTGAGTAGACAGGAACCTGGCTGTCCATCGACAATGACCGCCTGAGGAGACTCTTAACAAGAGGGCCGCTTCTGTCGATGCTTTGGTTTCCAGAACCAGATCCACTGGAGGGGATCACTAACCCCAACTTTGAATAGTACAACAAGTTTCTATCTTCACCTGGACCACTTCCTTTGTTCATTTCTTTCAATAGATAGGGAGTCTCTGATGAGCTCTGAAGAGACAAAACAGGTGGCCGTGGTCTTTTCAAAGCCAGCTCTATGGCTTTTCCTCTGGGAAGCTGACCACTCACCCCTGGTTTGTCATCCACCGCCTCTCTGTCTTGCAGGGGCTTTGAAGGCAGCACCGCGTTCCTTTTCACCAAACTGCTTCTATTAGGATCATCCAGAGATCCAGAGTGCTCAAGAGACTTTGCATATCCCACAGAACTATCTTTCGGCCAACTCTTTTCTGTTAAGGACAAATTGTGAAGGGGTTCAACTGGTTTGGGAACATGTGGCTTACTGGTGTTGGTCTTGACGGCAAGGTTAGGTGCGGGCCAGGAGGTATGGCTTGGATCAGATGGATTCTGACCAATAGTTTTTCCTTGTGCTTCGTTTCTACTTTGACAAACAATGACACTTCTCTTTTGAGAACTGTTTTCATCATCTTCTAGGAACACTTTTTTTCTGTTGGGACATGTTGGAAAGGGGGCTTGAGGTGTTTTAGAAACGATGTTAGTGAGAAAGGAAATCCCAAGGCTGTAGCCTAGTTCTTGCACAGCAGCAAGGCTGCTTTTCTCGACAAATAAAGATGAAGAATAAATGTAGTTCAAAACATTATCAAAAGCATCTGGTTCACAAAAGTCAAGCTGAAATACAGTTTGTGACTCATTCTCCCTGTTTGTGAATAAACTCTGAAAGTATTCACTGCTGGCAGCCAAGACATTTTTATGAGCTCGAAATTTCTGGTCTCCAACGATCAGGAGCACGTCACACAGCTGTCCTTTGAGGCGCTCCTCGTTGAGGGCACTCAGGAGAGAAATGGCGTGTGCCGGGTTGATGTAATGCAGTAATCCGTCCATTGCTTGGGCTTATCTGGAAGACACAATGTAAAATCATCACAGACAATGTCGTGAGGTCTGCAAAGATGAACTGCTCCTCAAGGGCAAGGAATGCTAGCTGTTTTTTCATAGGTGCCAATATTTAGCAGATTATAGGCAAACAAAAGTTTTCTGGGTGAACAATCTTATTTAAATAACATGGAAAATATAAAGAGACAAGCCTCATGGCTTAAGTAGGTCATCAATCATTAAAACCGAAGAAGTTTAGGAACAACAGACTGTAACATAGGCATTTTTATACCATCGGAAGGCACCTAGAACTTGGCAGTTATGTAGGGAAGCAATATTTGAAGATAAAGGTTTACTATTTACAGTCCTTATCCACTTGATGCTGGGTTCCATTCCTTATCAGTTCAAAGAATAAATGTGAAGTATTGGAACCCCTAAAGCCCATAATTCTGAAAACATATCAGTTTTATTACTGGATATAATTAGACGCAATGTGAATTGTTAACAATGAGTTATAAAGTAGAGGTCTCACTAGACCTTTAAAAATAGGAAAGAATTTGGAAAGAGAAAAATCATTTGCTAATTACTACTGCATCCCAGTGTTTAACAAAGGTTAGAAATGGTAAAGAATAAAAAGAGTTTGCTTTCTTTCTTACCTAAACACCTTGCAATCGCTTGAATTTTCTTACCAAATTACACTTTCAACAACAGCACAAAGGAAACTTTGGCCTGGATCTAAACTTAATTATTACTAAGTCTCAATTAGGGGTTTGAACTGAGATTTCACTGAGATTCTCTTCAAAAATCTAAAGGCCTAGCGGTGGACACTGGGGTTGAAATGCTGGCTCCTCCCTGTTGTCCATTAGCCTCTCTGATTACCTGGTCCCTCACGGGAACTGGGAGCAAGTGTGCCCTCCTTTACGGTTGTTGCAAAAATCAGATGAGCTAGTATCTCATACATAGTAAGGACTCAACAAATGTGCAATTAATTTTCAGAAATTGCGGGATTAATAGGCATTTAATTCAGTTTCAAAGAAAATGGGTCCAGATTAACTCCACCCATGCTCTCGATGAGGATAAAGCCATTTCGTACGGAGACAATGCCTGATTCTCCAAATCTGACCCTTCACCTTAGACTTCTGCTATGGTAACAGCTTAGCCCTCTGGTTTGATTTTATAATGCCATCTTTTCTTTAAAATAGTTATGACATTTATTTTTAATATCAAAATGGATTCAAACTAAGACTATTTGTGACAGTTTTATCATTCTCCAGAGAGCAAGCTGTAGATGTATGAAACTTGGCACCCAGCATATCTGCAGGTTCTCCTTCGGCTTCAAAGGATCAGCCTTTGCTGGTCGACCAGCATCCAGCTCTTCCAAAGAGCACACAAAGAAGAGTCTGCTAGGCCACCAACCTGCAGTGACCGAGGACAGCATACAAATTTAATTTTATGCGGACTCCCTGTTACGGTGCTGACTCAATTTAACTGGCTCAGAGGCATGATTCTGCTTCCAGGGACGATGCCTGCAGCCTGTCCACAAACAACCGCCTTGGCCAGACCGTACCAAGTTTCTGTTCATTCCTGCCCACCATCACTTCACACCAATGGTAAACTGTAATTCCTCTCCTTGTGATTGCTTGTTACAGATATTTTCCCTTCCTATTCCTTTTCTGTTAGCCATTTTAATTTCTCCCTTAATTCTACTATATTGTCTTTATAATCACACATCTATTTATGTGCAAAGAAACCCTTGTCATCTTTTACGGAGGTCAGCAGAGAAAGAAAGAAGCTTATAATGTCACACTTACCAACTCAGCTGCATGATGAACAGTTTTTAGTGCAAATAATTTTTGAGAAAGCTAGTTCAGATGTCACCACAGGGAAAAGCAACAGATGCAGAATCAAAAGCTTGGACAAGTACTTTACAAAAGGGTTTCTTAAAATCAATTTAGTGGTTTGAAATTAGCAATAGAAAAAATAAAATGACTAGGGCAGAGCAGAAGATGTCAGAATGCCTCAAATGTAGTAAGACTAAGCTCTTCTGAAACTTCTGTTCCAGTTATGTGCATACATAGCCACATACGCATACACATGCAAGTGAGCACTGGGTTAAGATGTACAATATATTCCTTCCTGTGGGTCGGAGTTAAGACAGTTTGAAAGTCAGTGCTCTAGGCTAATCTACCTCTCTGAGCCTCAGTTTTCCCCACTGTAAACTAGGAACAATAGCAGCTACCATATAATGCTATTGTGAGAATTAAATGAAAAAATAGTAACTGCTACCATTTACTCAGCACCTACAACACACTACAAATTGTACCAGGAACTTCACATGTCATTTACTCACTCACTCATTCAACAAAATGGCATTTGCGAAGGCCTGAAGGAGGCAAGGCTGAACCACGAGGGAAGAGTACTACAAGCAGAGGAAAGAGCCAATGTAACAGTAGGACTGGAGCAGAGAGCTGAGGGAGCCATGGAAGACGACATCAGAGAAGCACGCGGAGACACCGCAGGGCTGGGTGGACCACTGCAAGAAGTACACTTCTTACCAGGAGTGAAAAAGGCAGCCACTGGAAGATTCTGAGCAGAGGAATGACAGCGACCTGAATTATGTTTCAAAAAGACCGCTCTGGCCATGTTGTTGAGAATGGACCATGGAAGGTAGGGCACGGGGGAAGCTGGGAGGCCAGCGAGGAGTCCACTGCAATGATGCAGGTGAGACATGATGGTGCCTGGCCCAGGGTGGCAGCAGTGGAGGTAAAGGCAGTCATTAGGATTTCTAATGGATTGACTATAGAGGATAAGACGGTGAGGAGTTAAGGATGTCTCCAAGGATTCTGCCAGAAAACTGGAAGGATGTCCTTACTTATGATGAAGTTTGATAGAAAAATCCGTTCAGATTTTTTTCAGGAATTCAGTTTTGATATTGCAAATGTGAGCAGGAACCTCTTCATTAACGTACTCTTCGTGGGCATCTTTCCCTGCTTCACCTTCCCTACAACCTTTCTTGCGCTTCCTGGGATCACGTCCCAAATACACATCTACCACTGAATCCTCGTCTCAGGGTCTGCTTTTGGGGGAACCCAAACTAAGACACCAAGGGAACCTGAAACTACAGGAAGAGGCTCTGGATCTATGTGAGGACTAAACCAAGTGAGATTTTCTACGTCTCTGGAAAGGAAGCAAATGCTACTCCACGTACCATCTGCACCCTATTCCTAAAGGGCATAAAACAACATTTTCTCACCTTTCATTGTTCAGAAAAGTTTCCTTCCTTTGCTTTCTTCAAATTATCATGATCCCTGTTTTTGTTCTAAGTAACCACTTCTAATCCCTTGAACCACAGGCTTCTATACTCTTTGAATTAAAACAGCTGGGAATTAGGGAATAAGTCGTCACTCAAAGTTGAGTTGTAAGAGAAACAGTCACTGTTCCTGAAAATTATTTGGAGTTAAAACTATTCATTTGCCTATAACCTCCATTTAGAGTGATCAATGAGACTCCCTGCTTGAAAACTGGCTAAGCATGTCTAAATTCCTGATATACTAGTGCAGAATAACTCTACAGTATTTATTTTCCATTCTACCCATTCAACCACCAATCAGTTTATAACAGCTAATACTTGTGTGCTTACTCTGCCACATACTACTGTAAACATTTTTCACGCATTAACTCAACATTTACAGCAAGCCTAGGAGGTACTATTATCATCCCCATTTTACAGATGAGGAAACTGAGGCACAGAGGGTTAAGTAACTTCCTCAAGGTCACAGAGACAACAAGCAGCAGAGCAAGATTCTACCAGGTGTTTTGGCTCCCAAGGCCATGCTCTTGACTCCACACCATACTGCCTCTAGTTACCTTTTAATACTCACATGACCACCTGAGCTAGGCACTGTCATCATTTCTGTTTTATAAATTAGAAACTGAGGCACTGAGAGGACAAGAAATGTGCCTAAGGTCACCCAGTCAGTTGGTAGTGGGGCTGGGAGTCTGGCCTCAGAGCCTGGACACTTAGTCATCACGTGACATGCTTCTCATACTGGACGCCTGTCTAGTATGTGCTAGAACTGGCTAGACATGGAGGAGATCAGTGTAAACAGGCATGGTGCTGCCTACAGTCTTCAAGTCTTGTGTGGACACAGGAGAAGTCAACCGCCATCACACGCATCTAGCGTGCTAAGCACGGACGGGAGTGTGCAGAGGTACAGACGGAGTATAGGTGACGGCATCGGATGCGGTGAGGGGCAGGCAGGGAAGGCATCCTACAGAAGAGGCCTCCTGAACAAGCAGGACTCAGAGCGCGTGGGAGGAGTCAGGAAGAAGGGTGAAGGGCATTTCAAGGACAGGAGCAGTGTGTCCAATACCACAGAGACAAGATGGAGCCGTGCCTGGAGCCAAGGACACGTGGAGGGGAGGGCAGGCGATGAAGCTGGAGCGGCGATGGAGGCACGAGGGTCCTGGAGGCCACTTGAGGATTCTAAGAGGGGCGTGATTCTTCTACCCTCTCCAGTAGGCCAGGACAAAGGCTCTGGGTGTCTGGAGTGACAGGAGAGCGCAGGGCACCTTCATATTGGGGCCCTTACTTCTACCTTTAGTTCAAGTACTAAAACTTAAAAACAATGGCCTTTTTCCTGGTCTAGCTGCAAACAAGGAACATTTTGGACTTTCGTGTTTTAATGACAGTAGGTATATTTACAGCGTTTAACAACTAAAAATATAAAATGCTCCATTAAGAATGCAGGCAAAATGGGGGGAAAATCACCAGTGCTGAATGTTATGCGAGAATCCAGCAAGCCCTCTGTGGCTGCTGGATGTGCATACTGAATTCTCAAACTCTCCTGCTTTTTCTGCCCTTCAGCCCTCAGAAAAGGCTACCTTTGTTGTGGACGTACTTTCTTCTCCATAAATCTGCTGGCTCATCAAACTCCAATTTCTCATGTATGTTTTAATTATGAATAATCAGGACTTCTGACTTATAGAAGACAGTGCATCACAAATTTAAAAGCTCTCATGTAT